TTTTTTTTTAATTATAAATTTATTTTTTTTTTTTTTTTTTTTTTTTTTTTTTTTGCACTTGGGTAAAAATAATGTCTAATATCGTCAACTACATAAATGCATATATTTTAATTAATCTGATAATTTTTTTTTTAAAAAAAAGGCTTAAACTCTTTCAACGTTGTCAAAAGGTCTCGGCTTTTTTTCTTAAACAAAGAGGTCTAAAATTGTTTTTAAAAAAAATTGTTTTAAATAGGTCAATGCTGTTTTATAAAGCTAAATCTCCCACTTTAAAGAATGAAATCCTTAGTTTTATCATGAGATACAGCTGCTATGTCTGAACGGGGTTGGAGAGTATTTTCGGAGGTTGCCGTGGTTAGAGAGTATTTCTGGAGGTTGCCGGGGTTTGAATGTCGTTTCGGAGGTTGATTGGGGTTTGAATGTCGTTTCGGAGGTTGATTGGGGTTTGAATGTCGTTTCGGGGGTTGATTGGGGTTTGAATGTCGTTTCGGAGGTTGATTGGGGTTAAAGTGTCTTTCTGGAGGATCCATCTAGAATGTGATTTAAATGTTCAACTATTCAAAATTGCTGACATTATTATATGCAGATAAATTAAAATAAATCTTAAAAGACATATTTTTATGAGTAAATTAACAAATGCGAGACGTTTTCCTAGATCAGTGGTTCTCAGCCTTCCTAATGCCGCGACCCTTCACTACAGTTCCTCATGTTGTGGTGTCCCGCATACAATAAATTATTTTCGTTGCTACTTCATAAATATGTGTTCTCCGATGGTCTTAGCCGACCCCTGTGTAAGGGTCGTTTCCCCCGCCCCCCCCCCCCCAAAGAAGCCGCGACCCACAGATCGAGAACCCCTGTCCTAGATGGGTAGTCTTAGTACCGGAAAAAAGCCTCATATAAAAAGTAGTAAGGTGAGAATATCAGTTCTAAACAACAGCCCCCACCCCTCCCCCGGGCCTCACTCTTTCTTTTTACCGTACGTTTGACATTACAATTTTGACACAAGAATGAATATTGTTCTATTGAAATGTGCAACAGAAAATCTTACCGTAATGATGAAGTTGTCAAGCTGCCTACGAAACCTGGCTTTGTCCTGTGTCCTGCTCATCGCCCTGGTTCAATGCCAACCAACTGATTTGGAGGACAGGGACATTAATTTCGACGACGAGGCTGAACTGTCTGAGAGATTTGCTGAAGAGGTTTGTACTTTTAAAAAAATCCGTTTTACAAACAAACAAAAAACAAAACAAAAAAAAACAAAACAAGAAATGGAAGAAAAAAAATTGACTCAAAGATTCTATTTATCATATTATGTACACGGTTTTGACTCTTGCAACATATATTTCAAACAAAGCTTGGCACATCTTACACATACTCTTACCAAAATGACATAGCCAGCCGTCTGAAATATAAAAAAAATTACACAGTCGTTATGTTATAAGGCAGTAAATACGATCGGGAGCTTTTTTATAAAAAAAAAAAACATTTCAATTAAAATTATTTTCTATGCTATTTTATTTGAAGGTACAATTTTTAATTTGGGGAAAAAATAATTTAATTTCAAATATCTTGTTTGTCAGAAACATAATCGCCGCCAATTAAATGCTGTTTTTGCCTGTATTTAATCTCTCACCTATTTTCTCTCTGTCAAAATTATTTTGCTGTCCTCTGGGATTCTACTTTTCAGCTAAGGTCTATTTTTAAATTTAATAAAGGTTTTTTTTTCTGTTGTTTGTTCGCTGACGAAGGCTTCCTGCCAAAACGTTCGTTGATTTTTTTTTTCGTTCCTTTTTCGGGTTTTCACACACTGTTTATACTCATTTCATTTTTTTTTTTTTTTTTTTTAACCTGATTTCAGTGCAGTTTTTTTACAACATTAAATACCGCTAGTTTTCATGCTGCATAAAAAAATTGTATCTTTTTATTTTTTTTTTTTTTTTTTTTTTTTTTGGTTTTTCACACTCTTTTTTTTCTTATTTTTTTTTTTTTTTTTTTTTGCTAACCTGATTTCAGTGCAGTTTTATTACAACATTAAATACCGCTAGTTTTCATGCTGCATAAGAAAATTGTATCTTTTTCAAGATTTAATGAGATCAGTAAATAATTGGGAAAAAATCTGAAACAAAACGACTTGTTCCTATCTCAGTCCTGGGAACAAAAGATAACAAAAGGTTAACTCAAAATCAACGTGAATGATACAACTAATTTGCGGGTAGGAGGTAGCAGTAGCGTCCTGACTAAATGCTGCCCGGGGCAATCACACCATTCGCACACCCTTTACTCTACCAGGGTGGGGGGGTCAACTGCTAATGGGGTTTTTATCCGGCATTGCCTAGAGCGTTACTATGTATAGCTACTTTATTACGTAAATTCCACAGTGCAGACACAGCCAATACATTGGCATTGTCACCTATGCAGACATCGTCCCCTATGCAGGCATTGTCCACTTTGCAAGCACTGTTATCTAAGCAGACATTGTCCACAGTGTAGGCAATGTCCACTATGCAGACATTTTCCACTACGCAGAAACTGTCCACTATAAAGGCACTGTCCACCATGCAGGCACTGTCCACTATGCAGACATTGAACACTATACAGGCTCTGTCCCCTGTGCAGGCACTGTCCAATATTCAGGCACTGTCAACTATGCAGACAATATTCACTATGCAGACACTGCCACTATACAGGCACTGTCACCTATGCAGACATTAGCCACTACGCAGACATTATCCACTAAGCAGACATTATTCACAATGCAGGCACTGTCCACTATACCATGCAGATAATCAGCAAGAGAATTATTCATCTGTGCAGCCCAACTTCACACAACTAACACTGAGATAGGCATGCTGTGAATGCACTAAATTCACTGTAGCATACGAATAAAATGGATTGAATGTGCTCCCAAATTAAAGCTCCCACAGCACACCCTCACTTAGCCCTTTGAAGACTACCATGGTACACAACTAATAAAATGGACAGAGTCTTTGCTGAGACAGCCTTAAATTCTAACATATTTCATTTACGACAAGCGATCACCAATACTGACATCAATAACAATACAGGTTAAGAGATTCTTACTTTTTCTACTCCAGACAGGAGCAGGTGCATTGGCGAAAGAATCTAGAGATGTAAGTAGAAAATTGGCACAAACATTTTTTTTTCTTTGTAAAAATACTAGCAGTATTACCCGGCATAATGACCGGTGATTGTTCAGATTTGGTTTGTTGGTATCGTACTAAACTTATACACCTTCTTGTCTATTTTATTAATGTCATAGAGAAATAATTTATATTTTTTGCATACATTCTCATCAGGTAAACCGTGCACAGTGTTATTATATCATGATACTAAATGGCTGTTTAGACTCTATGTCTGCTGGTCAAATTCAAATAAATCTAAGGTTTAAATGTTGAAATCATCTAAATAGTACCGATGGCAATAACAACAGTTTTTTTTTTTTATAACAACAGCATAAACCATTTTTGTGGTAACAAGAAACAGTAGCAATAGCAACATTATTACCAACAGCTCAGAGCCTAATTAGAATAATTGGTCTCTGATAGGCTTTTTTGTGTCAATAAATAAATATATAGGAGTGATGTTAAGACAATTGCCCATGTAGACATTTGTTTTGAACATTGTTGATCTCATCACCTATTGTCGCTCACCGTGAGAGGGTGCTTCCCATCAGAGGGTGCTGCCCATTAGAGGGTGCTGCCCATTAGAGGGTGCTGCCCATTAGAGGGTGCTGCCCATTAGAGGGTGCTGCCCATTAGAGGGTGCTGCCCATTAGAGGGTATTGACCGTGAAAAGGTCCTGCCCATCAGAGGGTGCTGCCAATTAGAATGTGCTGACCTCAAGAGCATACACGACTACACCCCGTTAGAGAGTGCTGAACTTGAGAGGGTGCTGACCTTGAGAGGGTGCTGAACTTGAGAGGGTGCTGACCTCGAGAGAGTGCTGCCTAAATGTTTGATTTTTTTTCTCACTATTTTGTTTTTTATCTTTGCAAAGGATTTGACATAACATCTAAATTCTTTTATATTAATTGTGACTTTAGGAAAGATTTCTAGTTCATAAAACACAGTGGCGTAGCTCCGGTTAGTGCCAACCCGGTTGGGCGAATATTTTTTGGCACCTCTTTCAACCAAAAAAAAAAAAAAAAAGAAACCATCTACAGTTTGCAGGAAAAGACAACCCTCCTTTAAAAAAAAAATGTTAATTGGGGTGGACTACCCCCTCCAACCCTTACCTATCCCCTGTTCGCCCATAAACCTTTGTAGAATATTTTAAACTAGTCGGCCCGCGGCGTAGCATACGCCGCAGAATTGCTCCTAGATGACTGAAGACTTCGTGAAAGACGCAGTTGTCCAAATGGGGTGGGTTCAAAAATACAACTGTGATATAGCCCGCCAAACTTTAGCGGCAGCAGTGCGTGATATTCCAATCATACACGAAAGTTACTTGACAAAACTTGAACTCAAGTAACGCACATTTAAGATTCCCAATATTTTCTACACCCCTTCCCGGCATGATACGTCACTGCACACTTTTTATTTCACGCCCATGAGCTATATTAATATTCTCACGTCCCAACCACTTTTAAATCGAATATTTTCTACACAATATTTAAATTGAGACGATTTCATTTCCGAAAAAAAAAATATTACGCACCAAACGCAATTGCGTTATTAAAAATAGATATATATCATTTAGCGTAGTTGTCGGGAATTATATTTTGCGCGCTATTGAACTCAATATTGAACCACGCCCTGGCGTATCTATAAATAGCCTGCTTGGTGTTTGATCCGTCTTGTTTGACCTTTGCTGGCGAATTATATATATTTATAGAGATCATTTCAAATCCTAATTTTGGCAGTAAGGCTTGCAAGTAGGTAATACCATCTGTCACTAAGAAATTATCTTCTATAGACATATATAAACATAGTGGACAACAGGGAGATAATGCCATCCGTCTTGATTTAAACATTAACACGTGGCATAATGTTAGGATGTTTCAATATTTGCACGTTAACCTTTAGCTTTGTTACACTAATGTTTTATCTGCTGAACTATCGTGTTCTGACGGTAACGTGACCCAGAGACTATAACTATGGGATGACTTTATATTTAGTCGAAATGGAAACCTGGACATCATTAAAAACAAAAATCGATGAGAACAGCTCAAGAAAACTGGGCCTATCCCCGTCAAACCAAGACGCAAGGGGTCAGCCTAACTGTAAGCTAGTTAGTGTGGTCATGTAGGGTGCAAGAGAACTCTGGGGGGGGGGGGTGGTGCAAGGCGATCCTGTTGTAAGGTGGGGGTCGGGGGTGACACTTGATTGACCGCACTCGGTGACACATAGCCTAGTGATGTCACTGTGACAGCACATATAATTTCAAGACATGTGTTATATTATCACGGTTTGTGTGTATATATTACTTTCGATGAAGAAATGTCTCTATGGACAAAAAGAAAAAAAAAATGTGCAATTAAAAAAAAAAAGTTATTTCCTGCTTCTAACTTCTCAACTTAAGTCCGTGCTATTTTTTTTTAATGCATAATTTTATTGAATGTTTTGTCCAGGTTGTCGCTGAAGTGGACAGACGTCATTGGTTCAATGCTGAAAGGGGTGCCGAGGTTAGTACACATATTTTTGCAACCATTTTGAGTAACCCTCCCCCTTCCACAACCCCCAAGTTATTCTACTTGTCGCCAGAGTTGTGTGTGTGTTTCAACTTTAAACTAAAAAAAAAAATTGAGTTGAAATTCAGCAAGCTGTTTTATTTCAGCCAATCAAGTTTTGATCTATGCCTGACTTAGAGAAAGCGAAATATATTAGCTTAATTAAAAATCCAAGCCATAAATGAGTACATTTCTTTTTTTAATGTTAATTTCAAAACTCTTTTTGAAATAGAAGTAGTAAACTTTAAAGAAAAAGACGCAAGCATGTTTTCTATTGCAAATTCATTCTCTTGATGATCCAAATGGTTTATTCTTTTTGAAAAAAGGTTTTTTTTTTTTTTGCATTATTTGAATTATAAATAAACTAAATCAGAAAATCTCATAAATACTATCAACACACATTGTTTTTAATGAGGAAACATATTGAGTAAATGTGTTAAAGCGAGTCGAGCTGTCAAATTTGCAATCAAGTCACACTGAAACTGAACGCTTATTTGAGGTTTAAATAAAAAATATTTGTACTAAAGCTATAAGAAAGAAATGAGAATTACTTCCTCGTCATTTGCATGATATAGCGAAGTATTTAGCAGCGCAAATCTAAACCGACGCCAATAAGACGAAACGAGCATTAACAAAAACGTGTGTCGTTAGCACTGGGTTTTGAGTTTCTATCTGTGCGGCTTTTTTTTAAAGCCTAATTGAAAAAAAAAAAGCAAAAACCTGAGCAATAAGAGGCCCACGTATTAAAAATAATAATTTAAAAACCTGTAATAAAATAACAATAAACTCGTTTTGTTGCTTGTTTTGTTTCGGTTTCTAGCTTTTCGTCCAAAACTTAAACAGATTTTTGAAGTGACTTTTAACGTTACTTTTGTTTCGTATCATGATAGTTTTTAATAACTTTTCAGATTGCTGACTTTGAACATTTTTTAAAAAATTTTTGTATAAATACCCCCCAGAAATTCGATCAAATTAAAAAACAATATTTATTATGATAGTTGCATACACAATTTTAAAATAAATTAATTCTGAAATCAAATGTTGTTGTTTAAACGTAAGTAAATTAGTCTAACGATGACTAATATAATGTCAGTGAATTACTATGCAAGAAAATCGTTATCAATTTCTTTATTTGCAAATCTCAACTTGAAATAGGCGTAATAAGGGGAGAGACTGCAATCAGGCTAGTACAAAATAAAATGAGTAAAACAGAGTAGGGTTAAACCTGAAAAAATAAACGCAACAAAACAGCGAACGTGTTGGCAGAAGGCCTTCGTCAGCGAACAAAACAACAGAAAATAACGGTATAAAAATAAAAATAAGAAATAGCACTTAGCTGGTAAGCAGTATCTGTGAGCAGCAATAGAAGTGTGGAAAAAATGTGGGATGAAAGTTGTAGCCTACTGATTTTGACAACGTAATGTTAACAAATAAAGCAATAATTCCCCCTGTAAAACTGTCTGGAACTATCACTAAGGAAGACAACCTTTGGGGAAAATCTTTCCGTTTCGGAATATGGCATTTACTTCTTTTCAATACGGGTAATTCGATAGATCTAGTTATGCGCAGGTCAAACGCTCCAATTTTCGTCCGATTTTTGTCAAACTTCATTTGAAGGCACTATTTGGTGCTTCAACATAATGCGTTCCAACAGAAATTTGAAGAAAATTTGATCACGTGAACTGAGCTTTAGCAACAAAAAAAAAGAGATACATTTTTGGAGCATCGTTGAGATATACATATTTATTTAATATCCTTATTCTTGCTATTTAAAACTTCTTCACTTTAATCAAGGATAATGTTATGTTTTCTATGTTTTTATTTTCAACAATAAACATTAGCATAACTTTACATAAATACAAGTTCTCAATAATGTTGACTTTCTCCTTGCTTCCGGAACACACTCACACTGTTCATTCACACACACACTCGCTCCAGTCTCCTCTGGGCATGTCCGCTCTTTGACCTTAGCTGGCTATCGGGACGGTCCAGTCCTATAGAGCACCATAACAAATAAACATGTTGCGTGAGTCATTTTTGACGGATGAAAGCGAATAGTTAACAATATTTTTAACACTTATAAACATCCTCTTACTTCTACTATTTTAGAAAAGACAAGAAAAAAACAAAAAGCTGGAAATCTTTAAGACCATTGTTAATGCAATTGCGAAATGGGCCAAAAATGTAAGTTTGAAATTAACATAAAATATTAATATTATTCCTATTTAATTTTTTTTTCAGTTTAATATTAATAGCAGTATTACCCGGGAATAATAAAGGGGGGGGGGCTCTATTTTTCAAGTGTCAAATAGAAATAATATTTATTTGTTACACACTCCTATTGTAAAACTGTAAGCCATCAAAATTAACAAAATGTGCCTTTTTTTAAAAAATAACATTATTTAATCTTAGGGAGTACCCCCCCCCCCCCAAATTTTTTTTTTTTTTGGGGGGGGGGGGGGGTCACATTTTTATTTTTTTTAAAAAAAAAAATTTTTTTATTTTTGGGGGGTCCCCCCCCCCCCCACTCTTTTTTTTTTTTTGGGGGGGGGGGGAGGTCACAATTTCAATTTTCTTGAAGAATCGTCTTTGGCCAATGATAAATGATATGGCTCGATCAAAATAGTTATTTTAATTTTTAGTTATCCTGTGTTACGCATTATCTCAATTTTGTGGTTATTAATCTTTGCTTTCTTTCGTCCAGAGTGCGAATTCGGCTCCCAGCGCTGAAGGGGGGCGTTAATGAATGGCCGATGAGCCTGTCAACAGAGACGCCCCCAGTGAGTGAAACGTTGTCCGTCGTTTTCAGCTTGAATTTATTTAAACAACCCCTTCAACCAATTTCTTCGTCTCCCAGAAAGTTGACATTTATTAATTAAGCTGTTTGATCTGTTCGAGCCTTGTCAGGCAAGCTAAATGTTGATCTTGTCGAGGCTTGTCAAGCAAGTTTAAGGTTAGCTTGTCGAGGTTTGTCAAGCAAGTTAAATGTTGAACTTGTCGAGGTTTGTCAAGCAAGTTTAATGTTGAACTTGTCGAGCCTTGTAAATAAAGTTTAATGTTGATCTGGTCGAGGTTTGTCAAGCAAGTTTAATTTTGAACTTGTCGAGGTTTGTCAAGCAAGTTTAATGTTAAACTTGTCGGGCCTTGTAAATAAAGTTTAATGTTGATTAGTCGAGGTTTGTCAAGCAAGTTTAATGGATATATTAAAAAAACATATTCTGAATCATATTTTGTTTTAAAATATATAATTGTCAGCCCCCTCCCTAAACTCCATCTTCTACTACTTCATTCGAGAGCCTTCGGTGCAGTGGCGTAGCTAGGGGAGGGGAGTCCAAATTCGTAAGTCCCCCCGGGCCCCTACTTGAGGGGGGCACCCAAAGGAGTGTCCGAATTTTTTTTTTACATTAAATAATGTCGAATGTCAAAATGCAGGGCTCCCTAAAGAGGGCAAGCCCCCCGGGCCCCCAAATCCCTAGCTACGCCACTGCTTTGGTGTCCCAATATCTGCTCTCCCTCCATTATCAAAGTTACGGTACCGGCCCATTTATCTAAATTTAAAAAACACTGGATGTTAGTCAATTATTTTTATTTTCTCGAACTGACAAAAAACATTATTTTCCTTTCGTTTGGCCTGAATATAGTTTAACTAGGACGAACCTAAGCTGAGGCTAAAAGCATCCCCTCAGGGGCCACCACAAGACGGAGTCGGAGCTGCCCTGGGCGAGATGCCTAGTTTTGGTTCTGATCGGTTACCTGCCTCACTTCAAGAAGGCCTAAAATGACCCCCCTCCCCACATATTTTTCCCCGATGAACTGCTCTGAACGAATCACTGGTCATAGAACATAAGCCAACCTGGGGCCCCGGTTCCGAATTCTTTTCCTAACATTACTTTAACAAGCTAGAGATGAATAAGGGGCCTCAGTGCATTGCTTTGCACAGGTGCTCTATGCTGTTAAGGAAGCCTTGTGAGGACATCCGGTTTCTTAGGACAGATATTACACTATCCATCCATCCCTGTGGTACTGCAGCCCATGCAGGGCTTTGGCCTGCCTCACTACATCATTCCACTCAGAACTAACCGATGCTTGTATTTTCCATGATTGGATTCCCAGCTGCTGTAGATCATTTTCCACATCATTCATCCATCTAAGCCTAGGTCTGCCTTTGAGTCGCTTTCTTCTGTGGTTTTTGTGGTGAACTCTCATCACTCCACTTTTATGTGGCATTCCTTCTAAGTGTCCCACCCAACGTAGCCTTGCTTTTTTCTTTCTGGTACAAGCGTTGGATCTTGATATAGATTAAACAATCTCTGGTTGGTTATCATGCTAGCTTTCACAAATCATGCGGAATAGTATGTCCCTCTGGTACTGATGCTGACTTGACTAATGATGACAACAATGATACCAATCACCATATCAGTCCAATTTGATCATGAATTTTATTTTATTTTTCCAGGCTAGAGGCGAGTTTGAAGATATTTAGATGCTTCCAATTGTACCAAGTTTTATCTGGGCCTTCTCACTGATGGGCTTATGGCTTAGACCTTAATTCGCCTAAAATCGTGTTGTTTTTTTATTCAAGCAAATAATTTTAAAAAGCTATTTTTATTTTAATTTTCAAAAGTTAAATTACAATAAAAAAGTCTTAATATTCATTTTGTTTCTTTTTTCATTGCATAGATTGAAATCTTTTTTGAAAGTGGTGTTTAAAGAATGAAAAGATTTTTAATCAAGATAAAGGTGAAGAATGTTTAAGATAAAGGTGAAGATTGTTTAATTTAAAAGTGAACAATGATTAAAATAAAAGTGAAGATTGATTCAGATAAAAGTGAAGATTGATTCAAATAAAGTGACGATTGATTCAGATAAAAGTGAAGATTGATTCAGATAAAAGTGAAGATTGATTCAGATAAAAGTGAAAAATAATTCATATAAAAGTGAAGAAAAGTGAATAATGATTAAGATAAAAGTGAAGAATGATTCAGATAAGAGTGATAAATGATTTAAGTAAAAGTGAACAATGATTACGATAAAAGTGAAGAATGATTCAGATCAAAGGAAAGCATGCTTCAGAAAAAAAAAGTGAACAATGATTAATATAAAAGAGAAGATTGATTCAGTTAAAAGTAAAACATATTTCAATTAAGAGGTAAGAATAATTCAGATAAAAATAAAGAGTGATACATATAACTGTAACAAATGATTCAGAAAAAGGTGAAGTATGTTTTAGATAAAAGTGAAGAATGATTCAGATACAAGTGAAGAATGTTTGAATCGGACCAGTTCATCCAATTCTCTAGCATTCTAGCAAATTTTGAAAACTATGATTCTTGTACTTATATGACAGCAGTTTGTGGCTATATGGTTATTTGACATGTGTTGATTTCCCTCCCCCACCTCATCCATTAAATAAAGAAATTACATATTCTCTATACTAAATATATTCTGTAATCTATTGAAAACATAATGTTATGATTGAGAGCATTAATACATTGTTGACAAGTGTGTAAAGGACACACGCGAGTATAAAATCCCCAGTCAGTAGGAAGTTGAAGATTCTTTGGCCGTTTTGGTGATGCCTAGCCTCGGTCTAGACATGTCCTTCGTGAGACGTGGTCGCCAGTCCTCTGTTTGTATAATGAGACAATAATAGACAATAAAGTTCTTAAGCTACCTCTCAGAGTCTGTACGATTACGTGAAATTACGGTTTAATGAAGACTAAACCAAAGATCCCTTTTTACCTGCTAAATATTCATTTTATCAAGGCGTAAAATAGGTTACTAATTGGATAGCGATTTCGCTTTGAATTTACACATTTTCTTTTCATCCATGTTATTATGTTATATCGATCAGTGATCTTTACTTGGTACTTAATTTGACTAAATTTTATTTTTTATGTACCGACTACCAAATAGTCAATCAATTAGAAAATTGATTTGATTTATTATTAATTATCTTATTATAAATCTAAAACAAGAAATAATATATAAATATTTGGTTTTTTTTATTTCCGCTATAGGGTGTACATCTTTTTTTTTTCTTTTTTTTTCTTTTTCTTTTTCTTTTTTTTTGTTCAATGGATTTTAAAATTTACTAATCCTTATAATGTGTTATGTATTTTAACTTCACCCAATGCTGCAAAAAATTGATTTGATTTATTATTAATTATCTTATTATAAATCTAAAACAAGAAATAATATATAAATATTTTGTTTTTTTTATTTCCGCTATAGGGTGTACATCTTTTTTTTTTCTTTTTTTTTCTTTTTCTTTTTCTTTTTTTTTGTTCAATGGATTTTAAAATTTACTAATCCTTATAATGTGTCATGTATTTTCACTTCACCCAATGCTGCAAAAGCTTGACAACTATACATTTAAATAATACCCAATAATATGCATGCCAATCATCATTCCAATCGTCAGTTCGTTGGTAAATGGAATTTTAAAAAGCAGCTTAAATTGTAAGGAAATGTGCAAACTAACCCTTGCATTCTTGTGTACCATTACCTTTGCGTCACTAAAGCTGCGAACATGAAACAAGTTATCTGGACTTTGTTCATCCACAGTGTGAGCGAGGATCAAGAGCCAGCAGATAAGTAGGGCGGTGATAAATGACTCCAGGAGCATACCTTGACCACAGGATTAAACACATCAGTTATAATTATTAAAACGTACCGAGCATTGCACAAACAACACAGGAATACGAAAACCCCAGTTATTTAATTCTGGGCTTGGAATGTGATCATTGTATAACAAAAGCAAAACATATTCTCTATTTTCTATTCATATTTCAGTTTGTGACCAAGTCTTTAAAGACATAATTGCTCATCTGTATATTTGAATTAAATGAACGACTAAATCATACAAAATGCGTAGGAAAAAGTCATTTCTTCTTCTTCTATATCTTAAGGGCCCACGATCAATTTATTGATCATTTTGGCTCCTATGCATGTAGATGGGATTTGCAATGTTTCTGTTACTGGTGTTGATGAGGAAATTATGCACTAGGGGTTTGAAGGCTGAAGGCAATAGATACAAATGTGTCTCAACTGTTCCTTTTGAAAGATGGTTCCAGTCCCTGATTGTCTTGGGCAGGAATGAGCAGCTCCTATACTGGCTTCTTGCTGGTATGAGCCTGAATTGCCTGTCATGGCCTCGTCGCTGTCTATGGGGGAGAGGGACGAGTTTCTGTTTAATACTGGAACAGTGGACCAGCCCATTATTTATCTTGTACATCATGGAGAGCCTGGATTGTCGTCGTCGTTTCTCCAATGGTGACCAGCCTAGTGTTTCTAGCATGCTGCCAACACTAGAGGTATTCCTGTAGCGGTTTAGGACAAAGCGTGCTGCTCGTCGCTGGACCGCCTCCAACCTGTCAATGCTCTTCTGGGTAAATGGGTCCCAGACTGAAGATGCATAATCTAAAATCGGACGGATAAAGGCTTTATATGCTCTTTCTTTCACACAGGAGTTGCCAATCTTTAGATTTCGCCTTAAGAACCCCAAGGCTTGGTTTGCTTGGTTACATACATTGTTAATATGCTCGTCCCAGCGGACCTCTCTTTGAATGGTAACACCCAGGTACTTTACGGAGGAAACTTGCTCAAGAATATGGCCGTGCAGTTTGTATTGGTAGTGTAGAGGAGTACAACTTCTAGAGATTGATAGTGTCTGGCACTTGGCAGGGTGAAATTCCATGTCCCAGCTCATCTCCCACTCAGCTAACAGATTGAGATCCTGTTGTAGCTGGTCCTGGTCAGATCTGTTGGCGATCGTCCTATACACTGCTGTGTCATCTGCAAACAGTCTTGCCTGTGATGTCAGTTTCTCCGGTAGGTCATTAATGTATGCTAGGAACAAACAGGGGCCCAGGACTGATCCCTGGGGGACCCCTGACTTCACATTGACAAAGGAGGAGCTTGTACCGCCCACCACTACTGCTTGGCGTCGGTGGCTGAGGAAGCTAGAGATCCATGTTTTAGTGGTGCCTTGAATCCCATATCTCTGGAGTTTGTGTAGAAGCAAACTATGATTCACCCGGTCAAATGCTTTTGCGAAGTCCATTACTAGCACGTCAGTCTGCTTGTGGTTCTCCAGATTGGTCATCAAGTCTTCTACAAATTCGAGAAGCTGGGTCTCACATGACCTATTGACTTGGAAGCCATGTTGACAGTCATTGAGTATATTTAGGCTTTCAAGATGCTTCATGACAGTGCTTACGATTATGTGCTCCAACAGTTTGCAGACGACGCTAGTGAGGGATATCGGACGATAGTTGGCAGGGTCGGAATGCTCCCTTTCTTGTAAATTGGAGGGACATGCGCTGCTCTCCAGTCTGCTGGAACATTTCCTGTGCATAGTGACGATTGGAAGAGGATTGTCAGTGCAGGAGCGATTTCTTTGGCTAATTCTTTGAGCACTCGTGGTTTGATGTTGTCAGGACCACATGCTTTGTAAGGGTTAATGGTATTGAGGAGGGCAAACACACCTTGTTCTGATATCTGGATATCTCCCATGATAGGGTAGGCTCTGTTCATCATTTTGGTCTTCAGAAGGAACTCAGTCTCAGAGTACTCTCTACCGTCACCAAAGACCGACTGGAACTGCTGATTGAGTATCTCCGCCTGTGCTTTTGGGTCAGATGTCAATTGGCCACCCCACCTCAAGGGGGAAACTCCAGCGATTCCATCATAGAATTTCATCAAAACCTGGATTATACTCAGTTAAAACACAAATTTTGCCACGATCTATGTAGATACATTCCCTATTTAGTCCTGTTTAAATGCTTCCATTATAATAATCCCTAAAGGTAATTGAAGGTTTCAACCTCATTATGCTCTCCAGAACGTACCACTGAAGTCTCTATCCTCCCCAAGAAGTACATTTACCTAGGTTGGCTTAACAACAACTTCTCTTCCCGTCCAGATGTTGAAACTACTAGCCCTATGAATTGAATCAAGCATTGTTTGTTACGAGAAAAAGTTTATAAAATACGTATCAATACTACGTTATACATTTATTAATAGTCCTATACAGTAACAGCAACATCCCTCCCCCTCCCATAAGACACATCAGTTCCCGGCTATTTAAAACAAGTGAAGACTCAAAAAAAAAATTCTACAAAATTTTTTAGAATAATTTATTTTACATTTGATATTCATGCAGCTCCCGGGGGCCGTGAGGATCTAACGACCTCTGAATATAGGCATACTTTACAAAGCCTGGTGCAAAATTTAAATATAAAACATTAACCCGGGAGCAAAGAGTGCATTGTTAAAACATCGCAACAAACGGCTGCTGTTACAGACATTACAGAAATTGCAATATGAGATGAACTAGTGCGCATAGGAACCTCATGTTATTAAATCATATCATGCTTATGACTGTGTACCTTTTAATGTCAAACACCGAGCAGTTGTCCTAATAGCAGCATCTGTAATGGCCTCAATGCAAATTAAATCTAACTGACTTTGAAGTTTTAAAAAGATCAAAGCAAAGAAACACTGCTGCCGCGGAGCACAGCATGCTGTGTCAAGAATCCGGATATTGACTCGCGCTTGGCTGACATTCTCCGGCCTGTTGGTGCAAGCATCGTTAGTCGGAAAATCACTCTTCCTAATACCTCCTAGTAAAATTGATTCCATATC